CTCTTAGTAATGTCATATACAAGTAGAGCACCCACAGCTCCTCTGTAATAAGCACTGGTAATGGCACGGTACCGCTCCTGACCTGCTGTGTCCCAGATCTGTGCTTTCACAGTCTTCCCCTCTACCTGTACACAAAGAAAAAGCCATTAGTAATGCTGTAATGCAAACAAGCCTTCATGATCAAGGTTTTCAAAAAACCTTCTGCAACCGTGATTAAGACAGCAAGATTGAGGTTTCGTGAGCCTCCAAATGCAACAGGCATTGCACCAGCATTGAGTTTGTAATTTTCAGGAACATCAAAATATCATGACAAAAATACAACCTCTGACTGCAATTTAAAACCTTGTTCATTCAATTGACAACCATCCATCCAATTAAGAAAACCATCAAACATAAATAACCAAAATATTTCCACAACATTACCATATAATATTAGTCCTAAGTTCAAAGATATTTTCTTGACCAATTTTTAACTGAGAAGCAATCATCTCATCTGAAGGTACAAAAATCAGGCTAAAACAACTGTTTAGTTATTATGTTACATAAAATATTAATCCAAATCCTCATCCACTTGATCGTAACACCGAAAGCTAAAATCATTTCTCCAAAACATTATATTCATCAGAGGTTTTGAAAAACACTCTGTCATCGTAATTTTGATCACAACATCAAGGATTTTGTCCATAAACTCATGAAACGTCAAGACCACAGCAAAGCCACCAGCGCAACTTAAAACCTTGATATTTATTTCCTAAGAAAAGGATCTGAGATATAAATAAGCTATTCAATCAATCCTTTCAAGCAAAGACTAAAAAAAGACCATAGTCGAATACATATACATGCAAATAACGGGCAGAAATCCAAGCAGAAAGAAGAAAATAAAAAGACAAAATCAAGAAATACAATCAATCAGGAAAAACACACGTGTCCATTACGGAAAATCAGCAAAGAAAAAGGAGGCAGAAGTACCTGAAGAGTCCTGGTAGCGAACTCGACTCCGATAGTGGATTTGGACTCCAAGCAGAACTCGTTTCGAGTGAACCTGGAGAGGATGTTGGATTTGCCAACACCTGAGTCTCCGATCAAAACGATCTTGAACAGATAGTCATACTCGTGGTCCACTCGATGCGTCATGGCTCCTCTCCCCTCCGATCTCTCAAACCTGCCAGATCCAACACCGAACACCACATATTATTCATCCAGATCCAAAACCTAACCGTTAGGAGAGCACAGCGGCGCGTGGCCACACGCGCATAAAAAACACATTCTCGAAACGACGAAACGGATCTCTCTACGAACTGAATCGGAAAGAAAAAGAACTCACCGCAAGACCGCGACGAACTGGTAAACGAAATTCGTTTGGTGAAGTGTGTTTAGTTGTTAACTAAGCGAAGTAGAAAAGTTGAGAGAGAGAGAGAGAGAGAGGTGGGGAACCGGAGCAGAGCGGAGCGGTTCGGATAACCGGAGGAACCGCAGGGGATTTTGGTGGAGATGGAAAAGGAGAGTGGCCGAATTGGCCAACTGGAGAAAACAGAAATGTCTACGGGTGAGAAAGCAACGCCAACGCAAATAAATATGTTCATTTTTTAGAAAGAAAAGAAAAAGAAATATATATAATATATATAAATAATGTTTAACTATTATTATTAATTTATAATTTGTGGTGTTGAAGAATGTGAGAAAGACAAAGTCTGTGTGATGAAGTTGTAGGGTGTGGCAGGCTGGCTGGTGGAGGGTGGGGTGTGGTGCGTTAAGGACAGGGTGTCCCTGTTACACTGCCTTTTTGTTTCTCTGTTCTCTTTCTCCTCATACTCTTCTGTGCTCTCCCTCCCTCTTCTAACCAATCACAACCTTTTTAATAAGGCTAATCTCAATTTCAATTATTTTCTTTTCATTCTTTTATTCTTCAAATTACTTTCAACTTTATTTCGATTCGACACTTCATAAACTTTTCAACAAATAATATAATCGGAAGAGGTTGTATTAAACTGAAACATTTTTATTTTAAAAATGTCAAAATACATTACCATCCAAAATAAAAAAAGTACTTAATAGATACAAGAGCACTTTAAAAAATCAGATTACTTTTTATTTTAATCACTAAAACGAAATCCACATTTCTTTTATACTTTTTCATTTTTTACAGTAAAAAGTGTTTCATTCAAAATAAATAAATAAATAAATAAATATATATATATATATATATATATATATATATATTAGATAAATTATAATCCATTTCAAAAATTAGATAGATTATGGTTTAGTGATGATTTTGAAAACAATTTACACTATATAGCATTTAAAATAGCTATAGACATTTGTATATATTTGTACAGACATGGTATGTACTTGTGTATATATATCTGTTCGCTCGTACGTACAGATAACATGTGCTCCTGCCTCAGTCTAAGTTTAAGAATAAGTGCCTATGTATGTCAAAGTTAAAGCTTTAGATACACGATAAAGAAGACAACAAAGAACGTTATTTTTACTCTGAAATATATATATTAATAATTAATAATTTGAATATAGAAGTTTTTTACCGAATTATTTAAGTAAATTTAATGTAAGGTTGAATAGATTAAAACCGTAATTTTTCTATTTAAAACATTGATGGAAAAATATATTGTTTATTTAAACTTTATGAGCTTAAGGATTAAAAATTTAATAAAATGAAATATTAACCTCATATAATACTCTTATTTCTTTAAATGTTATTTTTAAAACTTTCTGTATTATTTACCGTTCTAATTGTCTATCATTATTTCATAACTACAAAACTAATAGAAAATGGTAATTTAATTTGAGAAGTTTAAGTAATTAATAACATTTACTTGCCGACACTAAGCCAAATTCAAGATTTGCATTACATATCACTACCAAGTATTTATATACAGGGATCAATGAAATGTCTTGAATTTGTTTCTGAAAAAAAAAAAACCAACAGACGATTAAATTGAGTTAACTTTAAAAATAAAATATGTTTATTATCTTGATATATTAAAAGCACACATAATTTAACTAAATGAAATGTTAGAAAGGAAGATGAGAAAGTGGTTAAGAGAGACAGAAAAACACTGTTTGTTTTCCTCTTAACTTATTGTTGTCAAAGCCAAGAATGTCCAAGGAAATAACCAACCATTCCTTTGGTAAAAACAAATTATTTAAGTTGGTCTCCTGTCTCCATTTTCTGCCATAAAATATGTCTAAATAGTAGTTGTCCACGAAATCAAACTTTGAGTTTTTCTTTTCTTTTTTTAATGTCAAGTTACATGAAGTTATCTGTCATGACATAAGTGTACATGCTATTATAGTTTGTATATTTATAGAACGTATTCATAAACTTATTCAATAGTTGACTAAATCAATAGAGTTTGTCAAAATATAAATTTATTGTTATTTAGTCTGCCACTATACCAGACCAAATGATTCCAATTCCAAAGCAGTTGGGTTTTATTTACTAATTTCTAAGTGGTTGGAGAAGAATGAAACGATGAAAATGAGAGTTATTTATGTTTACATTTATTTATTTTTACGATAAGTGTTAAGGCAGTGTTTGACCAGTGTCCCCCACCCGTAACTGCAAACTGGGCTAGTCCAAATCCTTATGGGTGACCACCGCTTCAAGTGTTTATGTATTTTTTTACTATTTTTTTTATTTTAAAAATATTTTATATCTCTCTATTACTTTTTTTTATTCTAAAATACTCTACACTTTCTCATTATTTTTAACAATTTTTCTCTTTCTCTTTCTCTCTGCATTAATGGAGCATTCATATGCATTAGATTTAAATTTGTGATATATTGTAAAATATAAAATTCAGAGAAAACTTCAATATTAGTACTTTTACCACTTCCATTTTATAAACTTAAAAGTTAGATGCAAATACAAAATAATAAACATAATAATATTAATAGTAAATAATAATAATAATATATTATTATTATATATTAACTTTATAATGACAAAAGAACTAAATAAATTCCAAATCTTTAACAAATAACTTTTCTTTTATATTTTAAGTATTTAATAATATTTTTATATTATTTATCTAATAAATTAAATACTTTATTAAATTATTTGAGTCAAACATGTCGGTAAGTTAAAACATAATATAATGTTAAAAATTATAGATATTAAATGTAAAAAAGAAAACACACACACACACACATATATATATATATATATATATATATATATATATATATAAACATTTTTCTAGAAATTTAGAACAAAATTTTAGAATTTATTAAGTAATTTGAAAAAAAAATATATTGAACCGTGAAAATAAGATTGAATCAAACTTATTTAAGAGAAAGTGTAAATAAAATTTTGCAATATATCATAAGTTTAAATCTGAGCCTGTCAATGCTCCATTAATATAGAAAGAAAAAGAGAAAGATTATTGAATATAGTGGAGAGGTGGAGGATATTTTTAGAATGGAAAAAAATAGTAAGAAGGTGTAAAGTATTTTTAGAATAAAAAGAAGGTTTAATAGGTTCGGAGGTCCCTATATTTGGGGGTTCGTTTCAATTGGGTCCTCCAATTTTGAAAGTGATCAATTAGGTCCCTAATTTGGTAAATGTGATTCAATAATAGGATCTCCGTTAAATTGATCACTTTCAAAATCATGTTTTTCGAGGATAATTGATATCTGCAAACCTTACCAAATCATGTTTTTCGAGGATAACAATTATCCTCAGCTTGCCACTTCATAACAAAGTTAACAGAGTTAACTCAATTTAACGCAGATCCTATTATTGAATCACATTTACCAAATTAGTGACCTAATTGATCACTTTCAAAATTGGAGGACCCAATTGAAACGAACCCCCAAATATAGGGACCTCCGAACCTATTAAACCTAAAAAGAATAATGAAAAGCTGCAGAAGCACTTGGGGTGGGGTGGTGGAGGGAGCAACACCTAATCCTTATAGGTTAGTTGGTTCAGTGGGCCCAAGTCTTAACGCGCCGAAACGGCGTCGCATTGATTTCGAAACGGAATTTTAGAGTTTCAATTCGACTTACTAACGTTGAGAGTGTAATGCGGCAATGGAAACAGTTGGGAGAGGTCTTGGTGGCGGCCTCTATCACCAACACGCTATCCCACTCTCACTCTGCAACGCTCAATCTCCCACGCGCCGTCGCTCTCGGACTCACCCAGCCCCTTGTTCTGAGAATCCTTTCCAACCAATCGATTCACCCTTCGCAAAAGCTTCGTTTCTTCGAATGGGCCCGCTCCCACCACAACCCTTCCCCGGCCGCGTACTCCCTCGTCCTCCGCTCCCTCTCCGGCGGCGGATTCTTCTCCGACATCCCCTCCGTTCTGCATTCCATGACGCAAGACGGCGTCGTTCTCGATCCCCACTCCCTCAACCTTCTCCTCCACTCCTTCATTCTCTCCTCGAACTTCAGTTTAGCTTTCCAATTATTAGATTACGTGCAGCACCTTCACCTCGATGCCACCACAATCTACAATACCCTCATCGCTGCTTTACTCACAAAACACCAACTCTCTTTCGCGTTATCCATCTTCTTCAAGCTCCTCGACGCCGTCGATTCGAAGTCCATCGTGTGCAACCAATTGTTGGTTTCTCTGAGAAAAGCAGATATGAGGGTGGAGTTTAAGCAAGTGTTTACAAAATTGAGGGAGAAGAAAGGATTTTCGTTTGATACGTCGGGTTACAATGTGTGTATTCATGCATTTGGTTGTTGGGGTGATTTGGCTACTTGCTTCGCGCTCTTCAAGGAGATGAAGGACGATGGTAAGGGGTTGGTTGCCCCTGATTTGTGCACCTACAACAGTCTCATCACTGCGCTTTGCAGGCTTGGCAAGGTGGACGATGCGCTTGTTGTGTGGGAGGAGCTCAATGGCTCAGCTCACCAACCTGATCGCTTCACCTACACAAACCTAATTCATGCCTGTTGCAGAACTTTTAGAATGGGTGATGCCACAAGGGTTTTTAACCACATGCAGAGCCATGGGTTCCGTCCGGATACGCTTGTTTATAATTCTCTGCTGGATGGACATTTTAAGGCCACCAAGGTTGTTGAAGCCTGCCAGCTGTTTGAGAAAATGGTTCAAGAAGGGGTGAGACCTTCTTGCTGGACTTATAATATTCTCATTCATGGGCTGCTTAGGAATGGCAGGGCGGAAGCTGCTTATACTATGTTTTGTGACCTCAAGAAGAAGGGCCAATTTGTGGATGGGATTACCTACAGCATTGTTGTGTTGCAGCTTTGTAAGGAGGGTCAACTGGAGGAGGCGCTGCAGTTGGTGGAAGAAATGGAAAGCAGAGGTTTTACTGTTGACCTTGTCACCATAACATCCCTGCTGATTAGCATTCATAGGCACGGTCGCTGGGATTGGACGGACCGGCTTATGAAGCATATCAGAGAAGGTAATTTGGTACTTTCCGTTCTTAAGTGGAAAACTGGAATGGAAGCTTCTATGAAGAACCCTCCTGGAAAGAAAAAGGATTACTCACCTATGTTCCCTTCCAGAGGAGATTTTAGTGACATCATGAGCTTCATGACTGGTGCTCAGGATACCACCAACATTAATGATGGAGAGGAAGCTTCCTTCGATGGGATTGACGAGTGGTCATCATCACCTCACATGGATAAATTGGCCAATCAAATGTGCTCTACTGGCTATTCTTCCCAGCTTTTTGCTCCTTCTCGCGGTCAAAGAGTCCAAGAAAAAGGACCGGATTCTTTTGATGTTGATATGGTGAATACTTTCTTGTCGATATTTTTGGCAAAGGGAAAGTTGAGCTTGGCTTGCAAATTGTTTGAGATTTTCAGTGATGCAGGTGTGAGTCCAGTGAGTTATTCTTATAATTCTATCATGAGTTCTTTTGTCAAAAAGGGTTATTTCACTGAGGCTTGGGCTGTTCTGGCTGAAATGGGAGAAAAATTTTGTCCTACTGATATAGCTACATACAATATGATACTTCAAGGTTTAGGAAAGATGGGACGAGCTGATCTAGCTAGTGCTGTTCTTGATAGGCTACTGAAGCAGGGAGGTTATCTTGACATAGTTATGTATAACACTCTCATCAATGCTCTGGGGAAGGCAGGCCGAATCAATGAGGTGAATAAGCTCTTTGAGCAAATGAGGAGCAGTGGAATAAATCCCGATGTTGTCACTTACAATACATTGATTGAAGTTCACAGCAAGGCAGGGCTATTGAAGGATGCTTATAAGTTCTTAAAAATGATGCTGGACGCTGGATGCACCCCTAACCATGTCACAGACACAACTTTAGATTATCTTGGGAGGGAAATTGATAAATTGAGATTCCAAAGGGCAACGATTTTGAGTGAAAAAGATGATCCTTCTTGAGGAGACACAGTTGTAACTTAAGTTCTGGGGAAGGGATGAAATTCTAGCAGTCTATGAAATTGGAATCTGTAATTTAGTTTTTGTATTATCTGAATTGTGCTGTGATCACAGCTGGTGTACTCCACGATCAGTTCTGTTGTTGTATTGTCTTGGCTTCTTAGCTTGCAAATGGCTAGTCAATGTTATGCATCTTCTGTTTTAAACCCAATTAACCAAAATTTTATGTCCTTGGAACAGTTTCGTTCTGATTCAATGTTTTAAAACACTTTAAACTTGAAAGTACTTCTTTTAGAATAGATTAAGAGAATTTGATCTGTAAATTAAAGAAACACTATAAACCATCATTCTTTCTATTCAAATCGTTGCACCTCTTTCCCCCTCCTTTTCATGGATTTTGAGGTGTTGTCTACAAATTAAAGAGGGATTATGATCATTATTGCTCCCTGCAACAATATTAAATTAAATGTATATTTGCTTTCGTATTCAGTGAAACCAAACACAAAATTTTTATCCACTGAAATTATTGTGATAATATTTGTTTTTTTATATTTAAAATATGAATTCGAAACTACAAACGTGAAACATATAAGAGGTTACATTAACGGTAAGAAGAATAAGATTACTATGAATAATGCATTGTGATTTCAAACATTTATTCGTTGCAGTTTTTCTTTCTTACACAAAAGTAAAGGTTCATCTTTTAACTTTTATTTTTTATTTTAACAATGTTACCTTTTGCACAGTTTTGAGAAGGAAACAAGTTAACTGGGTTTGGTTCCAAACGTAAGCTTATACGCCACTCTCAACACACTGTAACGCATTCGTTAAATGGTTGCTTGCAAGCAATACAAAACACAATCCTTGAGTTGAGAAAACAAAACCACATTTGCGGTTTTATGCGAAGAAAAATATAATGTTATCTTTCTTAGGTTTGGTTTCATCACCGGAAATGTCCAACGTGTCTCGCCGGAAGATGACGACCACCAGAATTCACATAATGGCCTTAGATGGCATCGTCAACGTCAACTCGCTCTTCACCTTAGCCCTCTTCCTCGGCATCACCACCACCAGCACCACCAACACCCTCATAGACGCTGACGACACCGACTGCGCCGCCGGAACCTCCATTTCCGAAGGCCTCATCGCATTCCACGTGTACTCCTTCAGCTCCTTCCTCTTCTCAAGCCTCATCGCCTTGGCTCTCAAAAACGTGATCAACTTCAGCAAGGAAGTCGATGATGGTGACGTTTTGGGAGCCAACAACAACAACAGCTGGGTCCACAGTGTTGCGAAAATTAACACCGTGGTTTTGAGGTTGGGGACTCTGGTTTCGGCTTTTGGGTCGGTTTTCGGATGCGGGTTTCTGGTGGTGGCTCTTGTGGATTTGGTGCAGATCAAGTTGGGAACCATTGCTTGTGGGAGTCCTCATACTTTCGCTGCGGTGGCTCCCTTGCTCGTTCTTGTTCCCTCTGCGCTTCTTATCTACGTTTTTCTCGTCCTCTATGCCTTCACTCGTTAAACCAATAAAGAAAATATACATGATTCAATTCAACCATGTTTAAGGTGTCAAAGTGAATGATGTTATCATTAAGGATTCAAAGATCGTTGATGGAAAATGCTGATGAAATGAAGAGATCGAATTCAAACGAATTCCAAGTGCTTTATTCAATTTTGCTTTGCTATCTGGCTTGCAAATTGTTTTCATAATTCAATCTTTTTGCATATATCAAATTATAGATATATATTTTTAATATTATCATAAAAGAAGGGTGCAGGTTACTGAAAAATTGTGTCTTGCTCTGTTTGCTTGAGAGTGAGGAACAACGCGAAGTGATATTAGGATTATTTTTTGAGGAGCGAAAATGTTATTCAGTAGTAGAGAACACGTTGCTAGGACTCGTACGTTAGAACTTCTCTCTCATTTCCATCTTGCCAGAAAGAAATGGCACCTTTTCTAACTAATTGTGTTTGGTTTTCACAACCATTTTTGGCTTAAAATTGCATTTTTCAAATATTATACTGTAATATATACCCAAATGTAATAATATTTAATGAATAACGATAATTTTTACAATACTTTTTTATAATATTTTAACACCATTTACTTATTATTCTGTAATTGGTTTATTTTAATATTTATGATTATTATTATTAATTATGAAATAATTTTGAATCAATTATATAATGATATATAAATAATATTAAAATGTTTGTGAAAAAAATTTATAACACACGAACCAATTCGGAGGTGTTTTAAATAATTTGTGTTTTTATTTTTTGGTCATTAAAAAAAGGGGTTTGATACCCATAAAAATACATCATTTAATAATATAATTATACATATTAAATTAAAAAAGTATAGTTAAATATTATTATTTTAAGTTGATAAATTAAATATTTTTTTAGTTACTGTGAAAATATCACCTAATTTTCCTTTATAGCTTCCTCACGAAAAAAATATAGCGTTGTTTTGAGTATCGAACGAACTGATCGGCATATCTGTTTCCAAACCCAAATCGCAGAGTGAGTTATCTGTGTTAGTATTTCAGTGGCAGTGCAGTGTGATGGCCAGTTGTTCCTTCTCGAAAGTTCGGAAAATCTATGATTTTGGTTCTTTATTAGTGGGACAGCTTACGAGAGCTACTAAACTTATCGAACACGGTTCAGCTTCACTGCCCTTCGTTGAATCTACTTCATTGAAAACGGCGTCGTGTTGGAGGCAGTACCACGACGGAAGGCCCAGAGGCCCCCTTTGGAGGGGAAAGAAGCTCATTGGCAAAGAAGCGCTCTTTGTGATATTGGGCTTAAAGAGGTTTAAGGATGACGAGGAAAAGCTTCACAAGTTCATCAAATCTCACGTTCTCAGACTCTTGAAGATGGACATGATCGCCGTTCTCACTGAACTTGAGCGTCAAGAACAAGTTTCTCTCGCTCTCAAGGTTTTCACTTTTCTAATTCTTCTACATTTTTAATTTTCATGTTTTTAGCCCATAACCTGTTTGTCATAATGCTTCTTAGTCCGAACCTGTTTGTTAGTATGACAATTATTATAAGGTTTAATTCATCACTGTCTCTTGAACTTTTTGGAAATTTTTAATCAGGTCCTAAACTAAAATAAATTATAATTGGATCTAACTCTTCTGTGATATTTGTAATTAGGTTGTTAGAAATCGCTATTTTTCTGCTATTTGAAATCATCATAAACTAACTTCGGGGACTCAGATATAATTTTGTATAACAAAGTACCTGATTGCAATTTAAGGACCTCATTAAAAATTCCCAAAAAAGTTTTGATGTATTAAACTTTCATATTATAGCTGTGCATATTATAGCTGTGCAATTCTTATTGTACGGAGGTTACAAGTGATTAACTGAATGAATTTTCAGATGTTTAAGGTTATGCAAAAGCAAGATTGGTACAAGCCTGATACATTCCTTTATAAGGACTTAATCATTGCATTGGCAAGGTCCAAAAAAATGGACGAAGTGTCCCAATTGTGGGAAAGCATGCGAAAGGAAAATTTGTTCCCTGATTGTCAGACTTATACTGAAGTCATAAGGGGCTTCTTGAACTATGGATCTCCTGCGGATGCGATGAACATATATGAGGACATGAAGAATTCTCCGGATCCACCTGACGAGTTGCCGTTCAGAATTTTGTTGAAAGGACTCCTGCCACATCCTCTTTTGAGAAACAAAGTGAAACAAGATTTTGAGGAGATTTTTCCTGATTCAAATATCTATGATCCACCACAAGAGATATTTGGCGCGCGCTGAGTTTTGAACTCTCTTCACTCTGTCATCCCGGGAGTTCGGTGATTTGCTTTAAAATATAAATGGTATTTTTGTTTTGCTCATAAGCTGTCTTACGGGCACAGTAAAACGTAAATGAGTTTAATTAAATAGAATGTGGGTCAATAGGTTCTATGTTAGTGTAATCGGGTAGTCAATTTTTCCATCAAATCGGGTAGTCAAGTTTGATAGCACGAATCTGGCTTATTGAATGAAAACTGTGCGGAGAAATTTAAGTGAAGAATGAGTGGATTTTAACTTAGGTCATTAGAAATTAGAAATATGACAATGCCATCGAATTCCAGTTATTTTCCTCTGACATGTTATGACGTTACTATGCATCATCTGTTCATTTTTTAAGGATCAAACTTACTTTGTTTTAGATAAAAAGGTTTCATTCATTAGTGTTTTACTTAAGTTTTAAAGGAGTTGCTGAATAATTTTTGCATATTTTCATCTTCTCCTAGCATAGTAGTAATTTCCCTAGTCAAATTTCGAGGTAGTAATAATGCTTATGAATAGTCTTATAAACTCTGTTAATATTTTGCTGGCCCCATGATGTATTCCTGAAGGAGCTGGATCATCAAAGGACTACAGTTCTTGTAGGATTTAAGGATCGAGGCTGCGCTCATTCTTAAGATTTGTGCTCATTGTGTGGTTTTGGGATGATTAGTTGACTGAGGGTTTACACTGTTTACCGAGTCCTTGCGCAATGGAGATAAACTTCTGGTTATTGAACTTTACTGTTCAGCTTGAAATATTCCAATGCTCTTTGTTCAGCTTCATCATCCATGTCCGCAATGTACCAATTGTTAACAATTGTTCAGAAGCAAGTAAAAGAATGAAACTTATGATCACATTTTCTCCGCCCTGCTCAAGAAGATGGTAAAAATTGATAATCTAACGATTCACTGGGAAGATTAGGCTTGCTTGCAGCGTTGGGTAATTAACGAGTGAAAGGCATATAAAAGTCTATATTTTTAAGAGAGATATTAGAGATTCATGACTCTCGTAAACAAATTTATATAAAATCATTAATCTAAAACTTAAAATCATTGTATTTAAATACTGTCCATCAAGTGAGAATTGCAACTGTACCAGGGAGTGCCGGGCGCCGTACAAAGGACGCCCGAAGTGCCGGGCGCCGTACGAAGGACGCCCGAAGTGTCGGGCGCCGTACGAAGGACGCTCCTCAGAAAGGCCGTCCGCTTAGCTCGGCGCCCATGCCACACCCGGAGGGATAAATGCTCGACCACCCAAGTAGGCACGGATTGAACCTAGACTCCGTATAAACTCTCCTACACCAGCTTGTGCCGGGCGCCACGAACAAGGCCGTCCGCCGATCTCGATGCCTACGTCGCCCGAATGGGCGGAACCTCTGTTTGTAAGAAAAACTTTGAAGAACTCACTTGGAATTCCATTACCACGGGATAGCCCCGTACTCTCTATACTCACAAAGAGTGTTCCACAGGAAAATGCCGAGAGAGACGAAAACGTCTGGTACCAGGGAGGGCCGGACGACCTCGTAGAGGATCGTCCGCCCAATTTAGTGCCCGAGTCATCCATAGGTAAAGCGAACGCCCGTATCGTTTGGACGGACGCCCATATCGTTTGGACGGACGCCCGTATCGTTTGGACGGACGCCCATATCGTTTGGACGGACGCCCGTATCGTTTGGACGGACGCCCATATCGTTTGGACGGACGCCCGTATCACTGGGGCGGACGCCCGTATCATGATGACCGGCCAAACCACTGATCACTGCGACCTAAGCAAATTAACCTGGTTTAGAGGTAATTAACTTTTCACTAATCCCAAGCCCATAGCGAAAACTATAAATACAGGTTCACGGTGAGTGGTAGATAGGTTACATTGAATGCACATTTATTACTACTACTGAAAATAGCCACCGCTCTGAAACTGACTTTGGCATCGGAGAATCTTTTGTAGGTCTCCACCCCTCCGGATCAAGAGGAAAGATAAAATTCGAGAAGAGGATCCGCCGCTGAGACAAGATCGTCGGAAGACTCGGAGACTTGGAACAAAACAGCCCTACACATCCGAAACAGCAACTAATTATAAATTTTTAACATTTCCAATGAAGCTTAATCAAAATCTCGCTACCAATCCATTGAAGCTGCACAAACTCCACAAAAGCCTGAACAAAAAAATCCGCAACCAATCGATTAAAATGCATTGACCATCAACTTTTTTAAAACAATCAATTAGAAACTAACTTTAATAATAAAATTATAAATTTTTAATTCAAATATAAAGTAAATTATTTAATAAACACAAGTGTAGGATAATACTCATAAAAAAATCCATTGTCAAAGGATCCAACTCCCTATTATAACTAAAACATTTAAGTAGAGATGTCTTTTTTTTATGAAAGCAAATAACTAGTGTCATCACAATTGACATTAACTTCTAATAAATTCAGTCACCCACTATTGATTAATGTTTTTTTTTCAGATTATATTATGATGCAATAGATAAGTTGGATACATATAATGCGTGACTTTCCATTTAAATAATTTAAGAATTTCATAACCCACATAAAAATATTAATTTTTCCTCGTTTAGTTACATATGCATTTTACATATTTATTTAATACTTTTTACATTTAAAAAAACTCGAGTTAAATAAGAGAAAGTATATAAATATGTGATGAATATTGTTTTATGATAATTAAATATTTTAAGTTGAATAGCTTTAACCATAATTTTTACTTAATATTCTAAAAAAACTTTTTTAGATAGTAGCTGCTACATGTTTGAATATTTAATTAATGATACATTTTAATTTTATATGCCAAAGCTTCTACAAATATACAAATTAATTCGTTGAACGGAATTTTTTTTGTTAGTGTGAGATGATTTTAAAGAAAATAAATATTTAATTGAGATTAACGTATTTAACTGGATGAAAAATACTTTCTAGTAAAAATAAAAATATTAACAACGGAGTATTAACTTAATTAGATTATATATTCTTAAATATCTGCTTTTACTTAGTATAAGCGATAGGAAGAAGTTATTCATAATAAAGTACTTCAAAGTATATAAATGTCAAATAAACTGTGATATTAAATCATACTTCCTTTGTTCAAATTGAAAATGAGGAAAAAAAATATTACATCAATAGGTTTATCAGGTGAGATTATAAGAAAAAAATCATTTTAACCGTGAGCAAATTAGATTTAGCATAGAATTCAATTAGAACATGCTGATTAATATAAATATTGTTTTTATCTTGTCATCTACTCGTAGATTATTATGTATGATAACTTTATTTACTTTTCTAATCACTGTGATTGTTGTTTCTATGATAAAATCTAGTTTTTTATAATTTAAAAATTATAAACTAACATTTGAATGATGGATATGACAATTCTAAAAGTTGTCTTATAAACTTGCATAAAAAATTTGGTATATATGGAGTCCTCTAACAGGAAGTGCAAGGAATAATTGCTTAAACGAAGCAAGAGAATTTTCCATTTTCCATTTTCCATCAGGCAGCATTCACTTACTCAGAAGCAACATTACATTTTTTTTTCCTCTCTATGTTTCTTTGCAGTTGTTATTTGATCCATGTAATGCTTTCAGACCCATTAGTTCAAACGAAAACAAGCAAATGTGGTTGAATTCTTAGGTAAAACAGAATGAATAACTGTGTTTAAGTTGATTGACAAAAGTAGGGGTGAATATGCAGTTAAATTAAAGAAAGCTACCATATTAAAAATCACCACTAACACATCATTGTGATGCAGCAAAGACAGCAAGAATCAAATAGAGTATCAAACATTTAACACCACCACATCATCATTTGCACTTGTAAGTTCAGTACAGATCCAACACAAACCTTATTTATAAGCACAATTTTGGTCATAACCAAGCACTTAAAAGAGAGTGCTAACAACACTAGACATTTTGCTTGGCGAATCCTTAACTTCAAGTGTGTTCAAAATCCCAACTACACATGTGTAAGACGAAGGAGGAAAACACAGTCTGGTCACTGATGAAGATGGAACAACCGATTGCAAGACCAATCAAGTTCAGTAGCATATCAGATAGTGGAAGGGGCAGAGTCTTTCACAATCGTTATAGGGCAACTTGCATTTATGGTGACATAGTTGGTCACACTCCCCAGCAACACCCTACGATCAACCAATTTTGAAAAACAACATCATTAGATCATCACTGTTCTGTTCATCAATACAACTTATAAATTTGTAAGTATGTTTTGTTTTCTGTTTTATATGTTTGGGAATACATTTTTTCAATGGCAATATTTATACTATTTGTAGTTAAAGACAAAAAAAAAAGATCCTCCCTCTTTCTTTTCATCCAAAAACTATCTCCAGAACATTAAGTGTCGACAAATCTATGAAGCCCCTTATTTTTGGAGTTGACTCAAGACTACCACTAGAGCCAAAACATGAGTCAAGATGCATTTAAGATGGGACAAAAACATAGATGCACTTCTTTGGGAGCTTTTATTTCATTAGTGTTGATCCCCCATTACAATTTGGATTTCATTTCATTAACTAATGTAATAAAGACATGCATTAAAGGTAAACATGTATTATAAAGGTGACATTTCAAATTCTAATTAGAGATCAACAGTAAATGAATCTAAGAAACTGCACTTAATTTAAACAATTAAATCATTATTTCATGCACTTATCTCTAAACTAGAGGGAAAAAGAAAAACCACCTCTGTATGGCACCTAAGCCTCTGCTACCCATGACCAAAGAGTGAAGCTTCAAATCCCCAACAGCTTCACAAATTTTCTCCCTTGCATCGCCCCAGTACAGCTTTGCAATCACAGCCACCTGTATCCAAGGAAAATTCAAACACATTCAACAATCAACGTATGACTAGAACAACCCTAACAAAGTCAAATCAAAACCTAAGAACTCAATCCAACAACACACGACAAGGTAGTACACTAGCAGAGAAATTAATTAGTAAAGTTAAACAGTAAAAACCTGTTTCTGCTTAGAAGCGGTGTCAAGCAGGTCCAACACCTCGGCATCAGAATCCACCTCATAATGATGCATCACATCCTTATCACGAAACTCCGACAACGGAATCAGTGCTTCACCCACATCACACCACACCACAATCAGAATTCAAAGATCAAAATTCTAGAAAAATTAATTGAATTTATTATAAGGGTAGAATCAAAATAGAAGCTTACGTGATCCAGTGGTGGACCATAGAAGATTTCGGGATTCACTGCCTTGGCCGTGCTTGATGTGGATGATGAATAGTGTGTCGCCGTTGCGGAGAAGATTATCAATAGCCCATTTGAGAGCGATCTTACTTCCCTTAGAGAAATCCAAAGCCACCCCAATTCTCCTTTCACTGCTCATCGTTTCAACAAATTCTGGTGTTTTTTATTGTTAATTCACTGTTTACCTTTGAGCTTCCGAAATGTTTGTTGGAGCTTCACAGTTGGGAGGAACTGTCCAATTTATGAAAACGTTTATCTTTTGTCGGTTCACGCGTGTTGGAAGTCAAAACATGTGTTCCATCTATCAACATCATAAATATTTTGTTTTTATATAATTAAAATGATACTTGTAATAAACAAATATTTTAGGTATATAGATTATAGAAATAATTTAAATTTTAATAAAAATTAATTTTATCATTGATAGATTTTAAAAGTTTTGTCTATTAAATTTAGAAAGAAAAATAAAGTTGTAAGTTAAAGCACATAAACAGTTAAAAAGATATAGTAAAAATAATTTGGGTTGATTTAGGAGAGAATTATTTGCTTGTTGCAAGTTCATGAGCAAGATAAACCATCAAACAAAACTGAGACGATATTAAAAATAATGAGAAAATTAAAGCTTTATTTTGTATGATTTATGTTATAATTTACAATATAATCATTTTGGTTTTATGAAATATTGAATCATGATCAGTGTTGATAACGGTGGTAAAGATTATTTTATTTTAAAACAGTATTATATTTTCAATGACAACAGTTTTCTTTTGATAAATCTCAAATGTACATCATTATTTTTTGTAAATTAATTAAATATATTCCTTTCTAAAGCTTCTCAAAGACATTAAGTATTTATTTTAAAATTTATGATTAACTTTTTTTTCTATATAAATTAGATTATAATATTTTTTTAATGTTTAGTTTCCAAATTTCAAACAAATTATACAATAATATCTATTAATTTAATCCATAGTAGTGTGATCTAATTAGTTATGTTGTCTTTATAACCATTCGATAAGCGTTTAAGTTTGTATGACTTCAAATTAGTTGATTGAGTTATTTATAAATGATCAGTTAGTATTGCAAGCAAGCATTTAAACTTAAAAAAATACATGAACACAAAGCGTCAAATCAATCATGTTTAAGAATGATTGTGTCATGATTAAGTCAATAAAAAACAAAAACTATAAACATGAATAAGGCATATGGTACTTAGGTTAGGTTAGGTTAGGCTAGGTTAGCACCATCCTAAGTTAGTTGACATAATTAGATCGACAAATAAAGTTTAGGTCAAGGCAAGGTAGGTCTTGGCTAAGTGGAACTGATCACAAGTTAGGTTGGATTATGAGACTCATGTTGGCATAGATGGGTAACACTTAGGTCAAGTCAAGTTGGGTAGATAATAGATCTATTATGAGTTAGTCATAGTCAAGATAATAAGATTGAGTCGAGTTTAAGTAAAGTAGGTCATTCAACTTTGATCCAACCGGATTCAAGTGAAGCCAAGGTTGATAGAGTTTACATCTTGATGAATTTCTTTGAGAATATGTTGGATAAAGTTGATTTGAACACAAATTAAGCTAAGTTGAGTCGAGCCAATGTAGAGTCATGTCCAATTGACCCACAAAGGGTCAAGTTCATTTATATCCACCTAGGGTCAAGTTAGGCACACCTCAAATCAAGGCAAGTTAAATGCACCTGAGACAAAGTTGAATAGGGTCACTTGAGCCCAATCAATTCTAATCAATCAAGTCAAACTCATGTTAAATCCAATCAAGTTAGATCTACATGAGGCATATAGAGTCAAACTCACATTGAATTGAGTCAAGTAAAACCCATATTTGACCCATGTTAAGTCGAGTCAAATTGGCTCCACTATGAATTGAGTTGTTTTAGGTCCACATCGGACTAAGTTGAATTAGGTTTATCTTTTGTCGAGTCAATTTGAACCCTTTCAAACACAATTTAATCAAGTCTACTCTTGATCAATTGAGTCAAACCTACTAAAGCAAAGTAAAATCAACTCCATCAAGAATTAAGACAAGTTGAGACTATATCAAACTAAATTATGTTAAGTTTAGACCTACATCTAATTAAGTTATAAGATATCCGTAAGACTACAATCAAAAGCTTATATTACGTTTAGGATTGATAGTGAATTTTTATTTATAAATCTTTTACTATGAATTTATATAAATAGTGATAAACTTAAAATTTATATCATGTCGAGATTTATTTATTATATTTTATATAAAAAAAATTTACAGTCAAAAGTGATACAATGGTAAAATCTTTATAAATGCTAATTTAGTATAAAGAAAAAAATATTTGTATTATTTATAATAAAAAGATGTTCCAAATTAAATTTATATATTTTAATTACATTATAACCTTTCAAGAGTTTTCTAAAAAAAAGGTTAAATTAACGTAATTAAACTCGAGTAAATCAATATAAAATAAGTCTTCAATGATATTTCGTTATATACTTGTACTATTTTATATCGTTGTACATATTTGTGAAAATATTCTATAGACATTTATAAATTAATGACGATTGCATATGGCTATTTACTCATATCGATCTTTTAAAAACTTTGCAAAAAAAGTATTAATATTTTATTCAAAAGGCTCATATATTATCTCAATTTCCACAAAATTTATTTTTATTTATGAAAATATTGAGTCGTGTAAATATAAAGATAAAAATGTGAAAATAATAATCATTATTATTAAACTTAAATTAGAATAGCAGCAGATGATTCGAATATTTTCTTCCTGCAAGTTGATTCTAATCCATTGGATCATAAGTTAATATTGTTTACAATATAATTTTTGCTCATTAGACACATTTTTATACATAATAGAGTGAATAAAAACAACTCTCAAAGGAGTACACAACACGGCCAATCCACCATAGTACACGTTTTGTCAACTAATTGAGACTTTGTTAAATTAAATACAAGCCTTTTAGTCTTAACAAGTTGGTGATTTTGTCACCTTAAACTTAAACCTTCTGTTTAGTGCCAAATATTCCACCATGGCTTAAAAGTCAAAACTACATAATGAGTAGTAAGTATATCACATCGTGATATATAATATTGAAGCACTGAATAAGAACCTTCGATAATGGCAAGAATAAACGCCGTTTTGTTTACTTCAATTTTCTGCAGTTGGAGGTACGCTTAATAAAGTCCAGCATTAATTAACGCCGAAACATTTGAAATAATGTTCCTTAATTTCCCTCTTGGTTGCTTCGTTTTCTTTTTCCACTGCAGACGTCGACTTATAAACTTTTAACTCTTGCACAATATTCTTCGATTCCAACTGCTTCAGTATATAACTCTTTTTATTGAAATTAAAGTTTTTATTTAGTCAACGCCCAAAACAAAAGGAAACGAAAATTCATCTTAGTACATCGATTTTAATCGGACAGAAACATAAACACACATCAACCTTTAGACAACCTTATTCGTAGCAAAGACGGCATCAAAACCGTAAGTACCTTAAGTTGAGAGTTTTCAGCTTAATTTTCTTCTAAACAAAATAGACTCAAATTCATTCGTATCTTTCTTACTGTATAGAGAATTTTAGACCTAATAAAATAAGTATTATACCAGAATCTTCTCTTAATAACATTGGAATCTTTGACATAATATTAAGAAAGATATATCCATCGCCACGTTCTCCTTCAGTGGTTGCAATTTGGAGAGAAAGGAAGAAAAGACAGATAAGACTCACAGCTGGTTAAAAGCACATCCCACTCATAGAACCCGACCTTTGAGCCTGAAATGGCTGTACCAGAAGCTCCAACAGTCACTGGGCCCACCCTTCACCACCATTCTTAACCTTTAACCTAAAACTCGTCACAAATTATGTTGCCTCCTCAAGCACCCCTTTTTAAAACCATTTTTGTGCCATTATTTGGGGACACACACAAACACAGAGTCTACTCTTCCCTTGTCTGAGTAATCATTGAATATCTCTTCCTTCCATTGACAACCATAATTGCAACTCATTAAAGTCTCACCTTACCTATCTTATCATTTTCATTCATCATCCTCCTGCACAGCTACAGTCTCTCCCTTTATCACATCATGGCTATTCTCCCACCATCACGTGACACCCATCACACCAACTGCAACATCGTAAACGGATCAGATTTAAAGCCACGCCTCAAGCTCATTCCCTGTGAATTTCCATCCTTCACGATTTCACTCCCCTGCTCCACCCACCCACACACCAAGCACAGCACAATGCTTCAAGACCAACCCAAATTAGATTTCTCAGGCATTCGTTCCCATCATTTTGATTCGGTAAATTTCCTAATTCTTCTACTATGCCAGCGTCTCCAAATTTTAAAAACTGCCTTTTATTTTTCCCCCGGTTTCTGGCTATGGCCTTACATTCTTTTCTTTTTGGCTTTTACCTTTTTCTCTTGCTGAAGCTGTTGGACTCAAATACTTCGCCAAAGTCAACGTTCTCGTCTACTTTGAGCTCGATTCAGGGGAGTCCTGAAGGTTCCTCTTCTGCTTCTTCCCCTTCTTATTCTTCTCAGGAACCGTCGCCTACCGGCCATGAATTTTGTTGGGAAAGCGACTATCATACGATGAAGATATTAGAGAAGATGAAGCTGGACGAAAGGGACAGTTCCGAATACCATCCTGGTTATGTGAATCAGAGGTTGGAGACCTCAAATGTTGGACACCATTCACTCCTTCAGGAACAAATTCGAGCTATTCAAGTGAGATAACATTAACATTGATTTTGACACCCTTTTTCTATTTGTTTTGGCAAAGCCATCAAGAAATTAAAAGCGTTAATCTTTCAGTTAAATTTAATCCATCCATTTCCTTATTATAGTTGTCTGGGATCAGACAAGAGGAGATTCTGTCTCAGAAGCAAGACCCAACAGCATATGTAGGAAAAACTCAAAGGCAGATATCACAGCAATTTGAAAAGAAAGGTAAAGGAGTTAATGTCGGGTATGATTACGAAAGAAGGATTCGTCCACCATGGCAGCAGGGTCGTTCACACCAGCAAACTGGTTCGAGAGGCTCGTCATATTCTGGGACTGGTGTTTTCTTGCCACGTGGAGAAACTAGTGCCCCGTTGGAGTCACGTAAGAGACCAGGTATCGTTTCAGTTCACGTAACATTTTGGCGCTTCTTCGTTTGAGTCACACGTTGTATGTTCAGCGGTCGTTGACTTAGGTAAATCCTGACGTAGAAATTCACTATACCCGATTGTTTGTTTCCAGTAT